TATATCTATATATATATTATATATATATATATTTATATTATATATATATATTATATGTATTATATATTTTATATTATATATATAATATAATATAATATAATATAATATAATATAATATAATATAATATAATATAATATAATATAATATAATATATATAATATATATATATCCTTCAAAACGTAGTAAGCCAAACACCTCCAAAGCCCTGAAACCAGAAGCTTTCACACAAATGAAAATTGCACCAAAAGCCCCAAGACCCGACAACCAAAACCCTGACAAGATAGAACACAACAGCTCCAAAACCCACACACGCTACACCTTTACAACAACAACCAAGTCATACAGGACCCAAGCATGAACACCCGAAACCCAAAATCCCAAGCCCCGGCCCCTCCGTTCAAAAAAAAAACATGGGAACCTCTCGGAGCTCGGCTTCATAATCTTCGAACCTCGGCAAGTCGAAAACACAACAAAGGCACAAGGGAGATTCTAGCAGGGCGTTGCTCTAAATTGTCGCTGACGGCTTGTAAGGAAGTCACATCGACAAGACATCCCCTCTGTGATAACGTAAACTAAAGCACAAGAGCCCAGTATTAAAAGCAACAACAGCTGCAGCAAAACGATACTTAAACAAAGATAAGCAAACGTAGTAGCAGTAGTGGTCGTCGGAGGAGGAGGACGCGGAGGGAAACGAGGAAGAGGGGGGAAACGAGGAGGAGGAGGAGCAGCAGTTGCTGTTTGCAGCAGTGGCAGTGCAGAAGCAGTCGCAGCAGCCACGGTAGCAGCAGTGGCAGTGGCAGAGATGGTGGGTGTAGCGTAATCATCAGCACCACCAACACCGGTATCAGAAAAGGGATCTTCTGAAAGTTCTCATCCATTGTCACTGTCATGGTACTGTCATTGTAAGGGTGTACAGCTAATGGCAAGTACGACAGTCCTTGCAACGAGTACCGGTAACTACCAATGTTGCCGAACATTGTCGGCACTGTGCTACTGCGTCGTTCAATCCACACCGTGCACCTGTAGTAGAACCTTGCAGTACCCCTGCCAGCCCCCACCCCGCCAACCCGAAGATAAAGAACCAAACAACGCAACAGCGACCTACACCCTCAAACCCTGAAACCTGACCCTTTCGTCACAGCCCGGTAATACAAAAACACAGAGACAGACAATGCGACCCTAGAAAAAGTACTGAAGCCTCAATAAAGAGAAAGCCCTCTAAGCCACTACCAAAAAAACACGAAAGTCTTATAAAGTTCCTTGAAGCCCTGAAAACTCGGGCCGCTGCTCCTCGGCGGGCAGTGAAGCGAAGAAGTCATCCACACTTCTCATGGCTCAGCCGAGTCCTACTAAGCCTACGCTGAGCAAGCCCTGTAAAGCTTGAAATCAAAAACCCCTGGGAGCCCGGAAACCCAGAGCCTGAAGCCCTCAAACCTAAAACTCTCTTGAGTGCCCTAAGCTCTCACTGAAGCAAACCTGAAGGGCCTCCAAGAAAGGGGGCTGCTTTAGTGAAGTACTGCGACAACTTAACTTGGAATCTCTCAGCGTGTCGCGCCAGTCGAAGACTAGTGTCGGCCTAAAGCCTTCCGATCATGTTTCGCTAGTGTTGCGACATGCTGGAGCATGTAACAGTAATAGTAGTAACAACAGCATCTGATAGCAACCAATAATTAAAACAATATTGGTGGTGGCAACAATAATAGTAACAATAGCAATAATTACAACTCTAGTAGCTGCTAGCAATAGTGCTAATTCAATTTTTCCGATGGCCTATGTACAGCTCCTTTGGGCCAACCTCGCAGCTGAATGGGCGAGCTTGTTAGGTTCAGCGGGTTACTGTACGGGTTACTACAAAGGTTTTTGGGCTGAGGGTTCAGGGTTCAGGGGTTGGGGTTGAGGGCTTCGGGAAAACCTTACCTAGCCGGTCCTTACAAAGGATCCTTACTAATCCACGGGATACTCGACAATGGAGTCTCTGGTTTAATCGTGACGATGGTCTGTGACATCACCATCATCACGACCATCATGACGATCACACAAACCCCAAACCCCAAAACCCTACTTACCCCCCCAAACCCTTATAAGAATTATTACCATTGTTATTTTTTGTGATTATTGCGACCGTCGAAGGAACTCTTGCAGGCCCCCTTTAAAAGGGCCCGCCCTTCCTCGGCTTTTTCCTCCCCAGGTTCTTGTAACCGTCCGGTCTTCACGAGCTGGCCCCGAGCTCCTAAGGCTAAAAGAGTTTGCGTCTGCCTGCCGCCATCCGACCAAGCCAGGTGAACTGTCCCTGTGTCCAGTACCTTGAAGTAGGGGGTTTAACATGCCAAAAAGTTTAACGTTTCCCTGCTGGGCTCCTAAGAGTATATACGGTCTTTATCAGGGAGCTAGCTAACTGACCAGGGCGTTCTGCTTCTTCTGCTGTGGTGTTTATAGGGTGTTGGCTTTCAATCGGCTCTGTTGAAGGGCCGTTGGGTTCGGTTCGGGGGTTAGGGTTCAGTAAGGGTTCTACATGGGTTTTGGCAGACTGATCGGGGAATTTTCCGTTTGACAGACCCTAAACACTAGGCCCTAAACCCTAAACCCTAAACCCTAAACCCGGGTTAGGGGTTTGGAGTTGGGGTTTCAGGTCCAAGGTTTCTCTTACGGGTTCCGAGCTACACAGATCTACGACTGAAGATCGCGCCTGAGTTTCTCAAAATTGCCTCTCCAGGAAAAAGTGGTGGACCCTACCGAAATTATGAACCCTAAACACTAGGATCCGCATAGGAACCCCTACCCGTACCCTTGAGCCGCTAGTTTTCAGCTATCACATACCACCATAGTCGCAAAGGAAGTATGAATCTCTGCTCACAAGACTCTAGAATCTAGAATCTGAACATTTGGAAAATAAGTCTGAAAAACAACGCACAGGCAAGGGCGGATGCGGGACTATGGCACACGCGGATGCCTTGCAGGTTCGCTTTGGCAAGTTGTGCAACCCTATGCACAAAGGATGGAAAACACCGGAAAGCATCCTCCGAGTCCTTGACCCTAAAGGCCAAACCCTAAACACTCCAGCTTCTCAGTTTGCAGGCCCATGGCCTGAAGAGGTCAAGCCAAAGCTGTTCCTGACCCTACTGGAGCTATTCGCTCCAATTTCATCTACCACTTCTAAAAAGTCACAGAATTGGCCAATCCGAGTACGCTGCCTTGTCCCAGGAGGCGAGAAACCGGCATTCCCAAGCCGGAGGAATATGGGTTCAGGGTTAGGGTTTACGAAGGACTTTGAAGTACTGGCAATCAGATCTCTTTAGTCTGGAAAGCGGTTGCCAAGCACGACGAGCGCCCGATGCAAAGTACTCATGATTGTGTTGTCAGAAGCGGTGCTGTGACACCTGCTGTCAAAAGCAGTTGCTCTGACTCCCTACTGCCCGCAAATTTGCTCATGCTCTGCGGCTGAGCTTGAATGTCGAAACCACTGAGAGGCTTTTCAGCTCTGCTGGTGCTGTGCATTCAACGGGGCTTTGCTGTGCTGTGCCCGCCGCCAAAAATGCCTGAAAGGGCTGTTCAGGGCAGTATCTTTGGCACCAGCAGTGACTCCTCACAGTTGTGGAACGATAAAGTGAAGCTAAGGAGGCTAATACAGGGGCCTCAATAATTGCCAGTAACTTCCCCTAGGGTTCCTCAAACATACATTCTACCACAATATACCCCAAGAACCCTCCTCTGACCATTGAGGCCCCTATACTAAACTAAACTAAAATTTCTCAAATCCGCACCGTCCTACTGGACATTTCTTTTGCCTTCACCGGCTCCGCAGACTGGGCTTTTGGTGCATTGGGCTTGATCAGCTTCATCCTGGGCATTGGAGTTGGGCCAAGGGGTGTGTGTTCTAAGGGTTGCTTTAAGGGCTCTTCTAAGGAAGGCTATGGGATGTAGGGTTAGGGTTAGGGAATCTAACGACTTCGGGTTGATGGTGAAGGGTTTTGGGTTTCAGGGCTTAGGGTTGTAGGGTTTCGGGTTTGAAGGTCTTAGGGTGTTAGCTTTGGGTCCTACCATGGCAACTAAACCGCGCGCGTTTGGTTCTCACCCTTTCCGTAGTGACTAGTGGCTTGTACAAACTGGTGCTGCCCTTCGTACCCTTAGTCTTACAATACTCGCTGTGGGACGACTATCTCTGGCATGTCTGTCGCTTTCATATGGTTTGACGTTTTTGTGGCTTTGCGGAATTTCTCCTCCTGCTTTGCCTCTTGTATTTCGAATACATCAACGGCTATGTCGAGTCTCACACTCAGTTTATGTTTGCTGGGACAGTTTCTTGCCTGGTCCGGGCGAAAGGAGTCCAGGACCTGAAAGCATGTTACGGCGTCACAGGCCACTCTACAATAAGACAATATGCCGCTTGAGGGTTTAGCAATTCCTGGAATTCCACAATCCTTGCAGCACCTAGCCAAGGTCCAAATAAGAGCAGCAAGCAAAGAAAGACCCCTGCCACCCCGGTGATCCTGGGAATCCTTGCCGGGCTCCAAGAAAAAGAAGCTGGAACCAAGGCCCGCTTGCTCCCGGCTGGTTACTCTGGGCAACCGGCATTTGTGCCAACTTCAAGGAGTCTGCTTGCAGCACCTTCACATAAGGCGGCATCCCTAGCATGACCGAGGCCATGCATGGATTGGTTTAGGATTTTAGGCTTCGGTATCGAGGCTGTGTTTGCCACCGTCCCTGCCCGCCGGCGTGTAACCAGTATCTTCATGTCAGGAAAAATCAGTCAGTCTGGGGAGCATAATCGTCCTGCGCATCGCGATCGTCACCCTCCTCGCCGTAAGCATGGTTTTTTGTGTCATCACCAACAGTAGCACCAAAGACACCGTGCCCTTTCCCATCGTCATCATCGTCTTCATCATCGGCATCACTACGACCCTTACCGTCACCATCAATGTCACTGTCGGTCAGGTCATCTCAGACCGTCATCTGACATCACCAACACCACGACCACCACTACCACTGCAACCACCAGCACCTGGCTGTCCTCATAATCGCATCAGCTTCATCATCTGTATCACCCACATCCTCATCAGAAACATTGTCCTGATCCCCATGACCAACCGCGTCATCGCAACCACTCTCATCATCATTACATCCTACTTCGCATTCCCATGTAAGGTGTAGCATTTTGGGACATGACTGAAACCTGCATATAAAGTATATGTTGGAAGCACGCCGGAATACTGGTCGGAAATCTGCTTCCCGCCACAGCGTGGTGCATGTAGCGGTCACTTCACTCATGCTGCCCAGCATTGTCGTCGTAACCATGAGGATCGATATTCTCATTCGCATCATTTGCCTCAGCCTGAACCCCCCCAGAGGCTCGGTTATTGAAAAAAG